TGTCGGGGTACTCGAGCAGATCGCACCGGAACAGCCTACACAGGGCAGGAAGATAGCGTTGGTCAGTCTAGTCAGTCTTAACTGTGTCAATTTGGTTCGACCCTGTGTCAACAGATACTCCATGGCTCTTTAGGGTGACTCTATTCGACCGCTGTGTCAGGGTTGCAGGATCGGTATAATAATGATCCTGTTGTTCAATTAGACACAAGGATTACCTCTTCCAGAAACGTCTTGCAGCCCAGCTTCCGCTAGATTCATTCCGATTTGATTTCCGGTATGCCATCGCATTTTCTTTGCCGCTAGACGCAACCCCATGAAATTATTGCAGGGGCAATCACGAAACGTCCGGGCCGTGGCAGTTCGGTCGATTCAGCAACGACGTTGAAGACTTGGAAGTTGTTGTGGAATATCTTACGAAGTCATTCGGATATGTCGTCGACCTGGTCATCGGGCACTCGCGTGGAAGTGTTGTCAGCCTGCTCTGGTTGTGCAAGCACCGCGAGAGCGCGGCAAAGAGCGTTAGGGGATATGTGAACGTCTCCGGACGATATCGCATGCAGGTTCGTCTTCGCCCACAATGTCACAGAAAGATCTCCCAACGAAATTACATAGAAAGTGTATGGTCAGTATTGGCAGTGTGGCTTCGTAGGCAGCGTTCCGACATATCAATCTAGACGACATGAAGCAGCATGAGGCGGAACTCAACGCCCAAGGCTACACCCTCCGCAAGGCTACCGTCGCCCGCAAGCCGTTTGTCGGAAAGTCCGTATATCTTCATTACATCTGTCGCCTTCTTTGTTCTGTTGCTCAACGTTTTCTAGAGTCACACGTGCAGATTATGACGAGTTCGCTTCGGTGAATACCTCCGTCGCGTGGGATCAATTCCCCTTGCACACAGACGTGTTGACTCTTCACGGCCTGTTGGACGCGGTCGTGCCACCGTTCGACGCGTTTTTGTACGCGCGCATATACGGGGCACGGAGTCCAGGCACGCATACACTCCGTTTGGTTGAGGAAGCGGACCATAACTTTACCGGCGTATGTGCATTTACTGCTACACACAGAAAGTGTATCGATCCCTGATATATGAATATAGATCCCCGAGGTGGTTGTAGACACAGTACTCGAGTGGCTCTCTCAGCAGGAAGCTGGACACCTTAAGACCGGTATCTGGCATACAGGTGTGAAAGGCGAGTTCTGACATTCTCGGCCGACACACTTCCCATATTCATCTGTAGGTCAGACGTTGATTTCCAATTCCACCACTGTGCCCGTGGACCAACATCAATGTTATAGATATCCACCTGCAACTCAATGTAGACGTTTGATTGTAGTAAGTTTGATATACAAGAGAGGGACCAGGGGATTGAGGCTCGAACATTATACGGATCAGATTTGCAAAAGGCTACTTAGACGATTACAGGTATATCGCTATCCACGGCGGCACTTGCTTTATGCTCCTCCTGCTTCTTTCTTTCCAGTTTCGCAGCTTTGGCAGCTCGCCAGTCAAAGGCCAGTTTTCCGGCAGCGTCGAGTTCCTCCTTCACGCCTACGACAAGCGCTTGAACGTCGTCGTCTGACATGTCTAATAGAGAACCCTGCCAGGCCGGTACCTCCCCGCCGTCTGGGAGTCTCGTAGCAGCGAGGCCAGGCCCTAAGCGCTCCTTCGTCTCGTCCAACACGAAACGCACCGGCATGCCCGTAATACCCGTCCAATCTTGTACGTTTTTACCGTTTAGCACCTCCTTCGCGCGCTTCGCTGCACGAGATGCGTACAGACACGCCGCGTGCTGTTTGTCCCTTCCAAAGTACCGTAGTGCCACCTGCAACTTTTCGTTTTTGTCCCCAAGTACCGCAAAGACTGATGTTTCGGGAGTAGGAATCGATGTGAAGTCGTGCGTCTGCATGAACGTAACGAATCGCTGGCGCATCGGGCGGGCCTCGACTTTGTCTTTCGCAGGGAGCTGAGGATCGCGCGCCTTGAGACGCTCAGCCAAGGGGATGGCGAATGGAGACGTCGCAACCCAGTAGAAGATTTCGTCCTGCGTGGCGAAGCCTTGCTCCCATCGATGCATGCTGAGCCCAACAAATCTGAGTACGTCCGACATAGATGTTGAGAGATAAAACGTTTGCGGTGGAGAGCCGACCGGGTCGATCAACTATCCGACATAGCCTCGTCAGATATCTTTGAATATAATCGCACGCTAAAGAACGCTCACCTTCAGGCCGTAGACGCCCAGTGATAGCCCGGCTGGCTGCACAAGCAGGCCCAGGATAAGTCCTAGATCGCCGTACGAATGGTGGAAGACGGTGCGCTCCCATTGGGCATGGTCCGCGCAAACGTTTACGTCTACTTGGAAGAATACCGCAGCACCCTCAGTTGCGGAATATTCTTCAGCAGGAGAGTTTTCCCATGCCCGCGCGACGTCCTCGAATGCTCCTAGCGGGATTGCGAAGTTGCTCGTACGCGGACCGTCCATCGGGACACTGTGCGACGCGCGAAGAGAGGTCTTGACCTCCTCGTGCGTCAGGCCCTCCCGTGGTCCAGTGACGACGAAGTCCAGATCGCCGTGGTCTGCTTTCTCTGGAGTTTCGCGGGGCACGACAACATGCTCATACAGCGACGCGAGAGTAGGTAGAAGTACAGATTTCAGCGCGGTGTAGACGGCCGGCGGCATTCGCGGGAACACCGCGTCGGGAACAACAGTTCTGAAGGCGTTTCCACCCATCGTTGTTGGTCTAGTGATAACGCGTAGACAACGACTGGAATGCTGGTGACTGGCGGCGAGGTGACGGGGGAGAAGGGCGGGATGCGGGTTTCAAGATATCCAGGCTTCATATATGCACAGCGCTGCAGCAATTGATCTTGCATGTCAACAATAGCTTTGCAACGTGCATGTATGAGTCGTTCTGACGTTCGGGTTTGAATATTCGAATGCCGCAGCGGCTCGGGCAGCGTTAAGGCGGCGTGCGGAACAAGACGGTGCAGAGGGCGAGCCTGCACAGCCCTGTGAATATTGGTTGTTATGCAAGGTTTTTTGAGTTAAATAATTTTGAGTTATTACCTTAACTACTCTGAGATTGTGTTGGGCGTTTACACTTCAACCTCCTGCTTTTAGACTTCCCCGGCGGCCCAGTTTGGACCGCTATCTCTCCTTGCTCCTTGTATCTAGCAAACTTGCCTGGACTTCCTTTGAGTTCTGAATAATGTCAAAGTACGCTCCCCATCACAGGTCCGGTACCCAACCCCGTGCCACTGCATCTACGATTTGCCAAAAATGCCTTGGTACAGGTGCGTACTTCTCTTTAGACTGTCCGCATGCCAGCGTTCGAGTTGATCGGAATATGTATTCATTTAAGGACATTTCATCTACGAATGCAAATCCACCCGTCCATACATTACGCGTCCGTCTCGTACGAAGATGCTCGAGAACCCCAAAGTGCTCGCTAAGCTTAAGGCGGAGGGCAAGCCATCCGTAGAGGTGCCAGAGGAGTTCAAGTCAAAGTGCGCCTATGTTTGCGCTCTGCACTTCGCATATTACTGACCGTCGGCTATAGGAGTGGCACTGCCAACCGAATACTGGAAGCAAAGGAGAAAGAGCGAAGTGAGACGTTGACGAGCAAGGGAGAAGGGTCGTCTAAGAAGCGTAGACGGTGCGTATCTGGATGGATCCCTCCATACGTTCCCACTCCCTGATGATTATGAATTCCAGGTCAGGATCCGTATCCTCGTCCTCGTCGGACAGTGACTCCGACTCGGACAGCGGCTCTAGCGATTCGGAGTCTTCTGACAGCGATTCGGAATCAGACTCATCAGAAGACTCGAGCTCACGAAAGGGCCGTAGTCGGAGCCCTCGAAGGAAGCGCTATCGCAGCGACAGTCGGAGCCGGAGCCCTCGGGGGAGACGGTGAAAGTTACATCCGGTTTATCTTGCTTTGTACAGTATGTTAAGGCCCTGTGTTATCATTCGTCGATTCACCTACGGCTTGCTGAAATGGGCTCGCGTGCCTTAACTACACGACCAGAGGTCTAGGTGCTAGTGACCATCTGTCGTGAGCTCAGTTCAAACCTTCCTACGGAGCCTCGCATGGGACATGATTTTCTAAGCAGTCGTGTTCGAACTTTCAAGTGAACGGTTATGAAGGCTATCATAACGCTGTCTAGCGTGTCATAACTGTACACGGCAATGTCACCAGACCGAACACTAAAGCTCCTCACATAGCGACTTGCATCTAGCTGAGTTATCCATTCCAGTCTCACGCTCTTCCAACTGAGCTATCGAAGGTTGTATAACACGGAGGAGTGCTGATCTACAGTCGACTCCCTCTGAACCCATACCTGTCGGGAAGGGCCCCAGGCTACTATGGGTTTTCACAGGTTATGTGATACCGGACTAAGCGCTCCTCGGGCGCTGGCAAGAGGTACAGGAATAAGCGCCCATCCAGACGGACACTTCGCATTAATTAGGAGGGTTTCGACTGTATACCTGGGCTGAGGCGAAATGGGAATCCAAATTGTGGTAATCCAAGAGCGCCATAGCGAGTCACTCACGCTGCATGACGACCTTCGTACTCCTGAGGATAGTCCCCGTCTGTTGTAGCTCCCTAACATGGTGAGTAAGAGGTCGGTAGACATCAACGCTGGCCCCTTAAATTCTACAAATGCCAGAGACTACTATGTGTGTGGTATAAAGGTATGTAGTAACTTAAGCCATTACTAGTAATTATAATACAATCCGAAATAGCTTGGTTTATCCTGCCCCTCTCGCCATGGATTTGTCGCTAGGGAGAGCCATACTATTTTGTTCATGTGTACCGGCCTCTTACCCACAATGGTAGGGTGCTATACGACAGATCTAGACAAAGACTATCCTAAGTCCGAAGGTCGTCATGCAGCGTGAGTGACTCGCTATGGCGCTCTTCAAGCTTGGATTGCCACAATTCGGATCCCCATTTTGCCTCAGCCGAGCCATACATTAGCACTCCTCTATGTCATGCAACCTTCGATAGCTCAGTTGGAAGAGCGTGAGACTGTAATGGATAACCTAGAACATCTCAAGGTCACTGGTTCGATCCCGGTTCGAAGGATTATTTTTGGTATTTTCTGAAGATTTTTGTAATTTCTTGCTGCGACCATGCAGGTTGAGCCCTGGCAAGCCAGTGCTTTACGCCTTGTGTGCCACCGAGAAGGTGCACAAAGTTAGGGTGCACAGTCTGCTAAGGTGTAGCTGCTACTAGGTATGACTGTAGGAGAACCCCGACTAGTTGATGATTTCCTGATGGTGGGTAGTGGGGAGCAAGTGGTGTATGTATCTGCAATGCGTAATAATATTGATACAGATGCCAGACTAGGCCGTACCGTTGCAGCCAAAAGGTCTAAGTGTAACTATTATACCATATGAAATAGGTGTGGGGCCGGCGCGCGGTCGCGGGGGTGTCGACGGACGGAGCGTGGGCCTTGCCTTGCCAATGATTAATCCGAGGGAATGAGATCCGCCGCAAGTCGCGACCTGCACGAGCGCACCGAGATGTGTGCCATACCAGCAACGGGCGATGGACGTTGGGCGGCGAGCATCATGGCTTCGTAGCGCCCCCACCGCTGCCCTTCCACCACTTCGCGACTTTCTGCGCCGAGTAGCGAAGGCTCTTTGCGGGACCTGCGCTAACGACGCCCTTGAGCGTCTGCACGGCCGACGGGTACCGCACGATCCTGTGCAACTCTGTAGAAAAAAAGGGGGGTGAGGGGAGGGGAGAGAAAGACGTGAATCAGCACGCAAGACCATGACCAATCAGCGCGCGGCGAATAGGCGCGTACCCTGCTCAATCACCGTCGGCAGCCCGGCGTCGCCCGCAAGTTTGGTCCAGTACACGGTCTCGTCCGCCTCTCTCGAGGGGAGGGACGACTGTCCCGCGTAGTGGCCCGTAACATTAGTGAGCAGGTTCGACGGGAGCTTCCTCAGATGCGCAGCGCGCGCGTGCGGAGTCGTGTCCTGTTGAATGGTCGTGGAATGCGCGGACCAGTGCACGCCGGGGAGCGCGACCACGAGCCGGTGGTAGAGCTCCTTGAACTGTGGAGCCTGCTTGCGGACAATGTTTCCGACCTTGCCGCGGTTCTCCGCAGGGAGGAGCATGCGCACGTCGCCCCCGTACGAGAAACCCGCGATGCGCTCAAAGAGCTCGCGCTCGGAGAACGAGTCCGGGAGCGTAAGGAGCGCGGTACGGACTGCGGAGGTGAGGTTCACTTGCTGCGTGAGTCGTACGCGCGCGTCATCCTTGATGATGCGGATGGGCTTGTGCATGCGTCCAGAGAGGTATAACGACTTCCAGTTCAGCAGGTCTGAGCAAAGGTTGTCGACCGTGGTCACACCATACTTGATCGTCTATTAACGGTGAGTAAGTGTCCGCTTGCTCGGTTGTACAAAGGGAGGGGGCATACCACTCCATCCATCGTGACCATAGAGTTAAACCACACTCCTGGAGGGACCTCCTCCACTTTCGCGACAAATGATGATCCTAGCATCCGGGCGCCCAAAGGATAGTGTCCCGGGAATTGGTGCATGTTGATTGAATGCCAATGGTCCGCGTGCGTGACCGCGAACATAAAGTCAAGCATAGGACCATCTTGCGACGCTGGGTTATTGGTCGTATACCCGTCCTGCTCAAACACGCCGGAGCCATAGGCAAAGGCGTATCGGATGGGGGCCTCAAACTTGGCGACAATACTCTCGAGGAGCGCACGCGTCGAGTCTGCGACGGGCAGGAACTGGTTTCGGCCGAACGAGGGCGGCAATGACGCTAGGACCTGGTGTCTATGCGGGGTAGCGGGTCGAGGCGCAGGGTTCAACCGAGTGCGGGCGAGTGGCTTGGCGGTCGAATGCTTGGATTGGGATGGCAAGGGCGGAGGCGGGGGTTGAGGGCCGGACGATGCCGCAGTCTCTGTGGAGAGCGAGCGAGCGACGAGAGTGGGGAGCCTGCGTGCATGCGTTCGGGCGATCATGGTGGCCGGGAGTGGAGGAGTAACGAGAGAGAGGGTGTGGGCGTCGTGAGCAGCGAATGCGGTCCTAGAACTTTGGCTTTCGGGGGAACGTGGTGGTCGGCGGCGAGTAGCATCTGCATGCCCGCGCCGCAGACGCTCGCCAGGGCGTACCCCAGTCTCCGGTCACGGGATCCCTTCCGCTCCGCGCCCGCGCCATCGCGCCCCGCACGGGTGACGGCGCAGATGCGGTGGGGTGCGGTCGATGTTTATCCCGACGTCGGTTTCTACCCGCAGAATCCTTCAGACGACAATTGCATTGCATACGAACAGGTACAATGATGCAGTGTACAGAAGGACCCGGGGAAGCCATGGCCTCGGAGGAATTCCGAGATATTAAGTTCTCTGTACGTATTTTGTGATGTTAGGCTTCAGCAATCGCGTACGCCGAGGTCTAGATTAATCAGTAGGACCTCCCGTGCCGAGAGACTCGAAGATCCACAGGTACACGTATGCTTGAAAGATCATACATAGTGGGCGGTTGACACTAAAGAGCCCAAAGTACGACTGGAGCACCTAAAGCCTACCACCAATAGGCCTCGTATCGACTCCATCTTGGAAAGTGAATTGCGATCGCCCCTCGTCAACTCGTACCTTAGTCTCTGAATTCGATGAAGAGGTTAAGAGATGACCGACGACCCGGAGGATCATAGTCCCACGAGAGAACACTAGGGACAGTATCGAGAGAATTGGGTCTTCTGCAAGAGATCTATGACCTTACCAGGTTGCCACTGTCGGAGAAGTGCTCAGTAAGTACCTTTGATGCGTCCGTTCCTAAATGCATCGATGTGATGTGGATTACTGACGAAGGTTCGTCGACCACGAGAGGATAGTAGAATTTCCTTCACTCCCGGCCTCAATGTCCCTCAACCCTCATTCCCCGCATATAAGGCAGTACCTCGAACGTCTGGAATTGAATCTTCCGGTCGTTCATGAAAGACCAAAGACATAAGAACAGCGGTGGGAACGTCGGAACCGAGACGCAACGGCGAAGCAAGCGACAAGGGAGAATGGAGACGCCCGGGTCGTCAAGGAGAGATGTGAGCGTGACGTCACGCGTTTGAACGCGCTCGGTCACAAGCACGCAGAGGTGCGGTTCGTCGCTCGGGGTGGGCCGGACAGTGCGCTCGTTCGACCTCGGGGCGTCGAGGAGGCTCTTGCGGAAGAGGGGTCAGCAAAATGCTAATATAAGGGATCGGGGGACGCACGGACGGACATATCCGACGAGGGGCGTAAAGGGGCAGCGAAGACGTGTCCGGGGTCCGTGCAGACACGATGCGCCTGCGTCGAGATCAGCGGGTCGGGGAGCCTCGCAGGGCCCAAGTCCTTCAACTCCAACGTCCAACTTGAACATAAGAATCCCTCCGTCTCTCTCCTGGGGCCTTTCCGTTCACCTTGCTTTCCTTTATACAAGAGTTCTCGGCTTTCTTCCTTCTCCTTCTCCTTCTGCTCGACGCCGTGTCTATAGTTCGCCCTTCCAGTTCTTAGCTCCCGCTCGCTCCTTCCTGCCTTCTCTAAGACATGTCCGACCCTTCTTCCCCTACCCAGGCTCCCGGAGAGATCGTTTCTAGCCCTGTTTCCCCCTCCACGCGCACGGTCGCCATTATCAAGAACCATGCGCTCAACCATAGATTCGATATCGAGCTGCGCATATCCGACGCTGGCTTCGAGGTGCGCGAGCCGTCTTGTCCACCACACTTGGCCTCGTCGCGCTAGATATCAGGCTTACCAGGTCATGTTATGTAGATCGTGAAAGAGAGGCAGATGGAATTTGACGTAGACACCGACCCCGATACGCTCTTCGAGCTGTTCGGGAGCGACTACGAGTCCTTCGCAGAGTCAGTTTCTGCGCCCCTGCTCGCTCGCGCCTCCATACTAACATGTCCCCCTGCTTTCCCTCTCCTATCTTACAACGCCCAGGGGTCCCGTGTGGGTATATGTTCTCGAACGCAGGCGTGCCGTAGAAGTCTGGCACTCGCTCATGGGCGACACTGACCCCGAGGTCGCGCGCAAAGATACCCCCAATTCTGTTCGCGCCCTCTATGGCATCTCTGCCGCCCAAAACGCCGTCATGGGCTCCGCCGACGCGCAGATGGCCGAGGTGCAGATCCAAGCCATATTCGCGTCCTCTCCGCCCTTCCCCACGGTAGAGCTCCCCGAGGTCGGGCACCCGGACTACGACGAAGTCCCCGCAGGCTCCCTCCGCTCCGTCTCGTCTTCTGTGCTCTCCGCCCTCAGAAACGGCCGCTCCGATAACGGATACGCCGCCTCCTCTACTGCGGGGACATCTGCGAATGGTACCAGCAAGCCGGGGTTCAAGGCGCGCGCGCTCCCAGCGACACATGCTGCCCCAGACATCGTCCCGCGTATGTCCAAGGCCGCGGCACTTCGCGCAGGCATCACCATCGAGACCCCCAAGCGCGCCCCACCAACCAAGGAACGCCTCGCACAGACGTTTGCGAACGTCCCGGGGCACAAGCGCTCCGAAACGATCACCGTGGCATCGACGGCGCCCCCTGCTGTTGCCCCGCGTATGACGCGTGCTGCGTCATTGAGGTTAGGAATCAAGCCCGAGGATAAGCCTAAACGGTCACCTTCGAGTAATGGCACCGCCGCAAAGGACCCTAAGGCAACCTTTGACGGCGTTCCCGGACACAAGAGGAGGGAAACCATCGCGGTTGCGAGCGTCCGCCCACCTACCGTTGCACCTAGGCTTAACAGGAGCGCAGCGCTTCGACAGCAAAAGGAAGCGGCCCCGCCGTCCTCATTCATGTGTAAGTACTACCGCAACATGACTGTACGCGTGCTGACCCTTGACATACCACCTTTCGCAGTCCGCCAGCCCTCATCGCAATCTGCGCCCGGCCGCTCCTCGTCCCGTCAGTCGTTCAGTGGCACTGGCTCGCGCCCTACAGTCTCGCGCCCGCCATCCGCCGCATCCGTCAAGACCCCCACCACAAGCCGTCCCACGCTGACCCGCACTACCTCCCTCTCCTCCAAGCCCCCCACCCGTCCCGCCGCACGCGCCTCCACGGCCCCGGGGCCCCCGGGCCCC